ATAATCAAAAAGAAGTCAACACTTAATTTTAAGTTAATTACTAAACTATAAGTTAAATAAAATAAAATTCTAATGAGAGAAATTGATTTTGGTGAATTTTCTGATCATGCAGAGAAAGATTGGATGGGAAAAGATTTTTGATGCTGGCATAAAGAAGAAAAGTAAAGGTAAGAGAACTGACAGTTTATATTTTATGGACAAAAAAAAAAAAAAAAAAAAAAAAATGGTACTTTTCATTAATGAAAATAGAACAATTCAAACACCTCTGAAGTTATCAAAAAAATAAAAACAAAAGCTACAAACCAACATTTCATATATTTAACTGATTAATTAGTAAATTTTATTAAGAAAAATATCTAAGTTTTACATCTTTTGTGCTAATTTTTCTATTTACAAGTACTATCCACTTCAGTTTACTTCCATTTTTTCTAAATGCTAACTTCTCATATATATATATATATATATAATTAAAACATATTCATCCTAAATATGCCTTTCATTACACCATAAACTTTGCACATTCTTATTTTATATTTTGCACTTGTATAATAGTTTTACTACGGATACACAATATTTACTCATGAAATTGATATTACGAGATGCACTTTCAGTCTTACAGATAACACACGGAGGATTTTCTAAGGGAGACAACTCGTTATTATCTAATATTCAAAATAGTTCATTTTCTTTTGGATAAAAGTGAAGACTGAAAATTATTCATTGAAACATCTACCTAAAAAATTATAAAGAAATTTCAAAAATTTTAATCTCAAAAGCATCAACGTTTGAAAATGAAACAAGTGCACAGATGTAACTCACAAAACCGTAACCTAAACCCAGGATATAACAAAGATAAGCATTTTTTCCATGCAAACTGGGAAGACTTCCACTTTCTATTATTTTTCTAAAATAAAAAAGGCAAGCAGCCAAAGAGAGAAACATGCATATATATAGAACAGCAAAGTTAAAAGCTTAACACAAAAGGTGTGAGTGAGAAAACATATACACACACACAAATAGAAAAAAAAACAATCACACAGACATATACACACACAACTTTTTTTTTTTTTCTGGCAAAGGAGTTTCTCAAAGATCATTATGGTTTTTTAGAAGTTAATTTGACAAGTCAGATTTCGGCTAGAATTATCCTGTTTGAAATTCAGCCTAAGAAGTGGACCATTGAACAGTAAAAAAAAAAAAAAAAAAAAAGTACTTGTATCAAAATTTTTCTTCCAATCAATTCCTAGCCCAGGAACCACATTTAGATAGTTATTTTAGCACTAAAATTTTAATATCAACACAAGCTATTTCAATATTAATCTATATTAAAATAAAGTATCTTTAAATGGATTCAAGTATTATTTTCTTCAGCAGTGACTAATATATCCCAGACAATTATTTCTACCTTTTGTAAAGCAGCCAACAAGGCAATTAAATGACTTTATGTTCATTCTCTACAAACATTTGAAACAAATAATGATTAAAAAAAAATCCTAAATTAATGCTTACTTTTTATCAAAACAAAGAAAATATAGTTCATTCATATTTGATCTACAGTTGTTTGTCACTATCTGTTTCTATTTTCATAATCACAGAATTTTAAATTATAAGAAGTAAAAAAATTAAAATTTATTACATCAAAAAATGTTTGTAGTCTTAAAAAATAAAATCATCTAATATGCATATGTCTGTTCATATTTATAGATTCTGGAAATTTATTTCATCTTCAAACAACTTCTGTGTATAAGTGGTGCATAACAAAGAATCAAATTGGATCATTTTCAAGGACTAATTAAATATTAAGATAGATACACTCTTGTTGTATCAGGTCCAATTCCAAATAGGAATATTTCTTTTTTTAATTGATAAGTGATTGGTTAACTATTCCTTTACACAAAGGCAGAAAAACTACATAAAATGTTTGACTATTGTCTCTTCCTCACTTTGAAATTATTTTTCCATTAAGATTAATAAATTTTATTTTTCTAATTGGTATACATTAGAACTGTGAACAAAGGCTCTTAAGTAGAGGATTTCTAAATTTGAAACATTTACAATTTTTTGTGCTTTGTTTCTTGGAAATAATAAATATCCAAATATTGATCTAAGATGATTGTAACTAAAAGTAACTTGTTAATGATTGTCTCCAAATAAAACCAATGTACTTATGTAACTATGACTAAAGCATATTTCACAGATTACAATAATCTGTTAGGGTAAGACAACCAGTGTAAAAAAAAATAAATAAATAAAATAAAAAAATAAGGAAGAAGAATAAAAAACCTTACCAACATTAAGCTACAAGGACAAAAATATTTTATACACATCTCTTGAATAAAACCTCAATGTCTTAAACACTGAATGGAATACAGAATATCTATCTTAGAAAAAAAAAAATAAAAGCAGAGAGTAAAAATCAAGTAGATTACAAAAATAAGTGTCAGAATTGAAATAAAATAAGCAGGAAAATAAATATATTGTCTAAGCATCATTAACATTCCAAATGTTTTGAATAAAATTTGGAAGGAAAACTATCATACACAAACATCCATTCATTTACAATTGTCAATGTAAGAAAAAAAAATGTTTAAAACCCTATTCTATATGCCCAACTTTTAATGTCTACCTTAAATAAAAAAATTACGTCAATAGCATATTTGTAGTAGTTATTCAATGCCTACAAAATTATTTGAATGTAATTTAATGAAACGAAATTGCTGGAAAAAATTATCTGCAATTAATCATCAGGCAGATATCCTCCTCTAACAAAATTCAGAAAATGTCTAAGCTTGCATCAAAAAAAGTAAATAAAGCTTGATGAAATTTTGAGGAAAGAATGAGAAAAGGGCAAGACATTCAGCCATTGCTGATAAAGGAGAAAAGAGAAAAGAATAGAGAGAAAATGGTCATTTTTCTAGCATTAAAAAAAGTATTTTGTTAACCTAGACAAACATTACTTTCACTTTGCCATATTTTTAAAGAGCTAATATGAAACACCTACAACCAATAAAAATATTAAAATAAATATAAGGAGAGTCAGAGCAGCAATCAATCCAAGTGTAAACAGAAAATGCAGTAAGTGCAGATTGTCACTATTATGCACTTAACATAAACCAGCTTTTTTTTTTTTTTTTTGCTGGGGAGGTGTGCATTTTACCACTATCCTAGAAGTTTACAAACTTAATCTTTAGCATTACATTCCTATACTTAAAATAAAAATTTATATATTTATTATTATCATTATCTACAGTTTTTACATACAGACTATTGTCCTCATTGTTTTTGTTATTACAACATTTCAGCCATTGTAACCTCTGACCTCCATCAGGTGTATATAGATCCAGGTAACCTACAGGGAATTTCAAACAGCAGCAGCAGCACACATGAGCAGGCAGGTCAGGTTTAAGGCTCCAAGTTTTCCATACAGAATTGTTCCACAGGATTAAAGTGTTGGTTAGTGAATTTGGTGATATAGAAATTTTGAGTTCAATCCCTGGGCCAGGCAGTGTACTAAGTTGAAATGGGGGTGAGCAATAACTGGACTGAGCAAGACTAAAAATAAGAGCTGGATGCGATATCCTTAGACACAGGCAGTGGAATAAGAACAATATACCCATGTAGATTAAATAACGGGTTCAGTTTGACATACACCTGACGAAGGCCAGAGATAGCAACAACAAAGATGTCCACATGTAAATAAAGATACCTCCTATTCCCAGAAATTATATATATATATATATATATATATATATATAATTATATATATATATATATATATATATATATATATATATATATATACATGTAGCAGAAATACCTTCCACATAATGGTAAGACATTAGCTTGATGAAGACACCATTGCCATTAATGTCTTACCATTATGTGGGAGGTATTTCTTACCACCCTATATATATATATATATATATATATATATATATATATATATATATATATATCTTATTACATTAAACATTATTTTTGTGGTTACACATGTGAGTAGACACTCTATTGGGGGGGGGGTGATTTTGTTTGTTTTTTTGTTTATTTTTTAAACAGTGTGAATTACTCATACCAAGTTAATAAAAATGTGCACTCTGGCCAGGTTTGAACCTGCATCCTTCTTTGTAAGAGAAACAGCTGTGATTTGGCATGCTTTAGACCACATTCAATTACTCTTTTTTAAAGAATGAATGTCTTCTCAAATGCCCAAATTGGTTTGAAAACATGCCAGATCAAATGGTGGTTCATCCCTACAAAAGAGGGACACAGGTTCAAACCCTGCCAGAAAGTACATGGTAATTCATTGCTTTTTTTTGTTTTTTTTTAACATCTACTTAAAATGTGTAGCCACAAAAATGTTTAGTGTAATAAGAAATAACAGCAGATTAAAAAAATAAAATCGATACATATATTTCTTAGAAAAAAAAAAAAAAAATGAGAAAGAGAGAAACACCTTTATGCTGAGAACTAGAAAATGACCAAATGGTTTGGAGTGAAGAAAAAAAGACTGGATAAAGGATGAGGAAAAAGTATAAAGATATAATACAAAAAATTAAAAAAAAAAAAAAACCCTAACACTGAAAAATTAACTATAAGAATATATATATATATATATATATATATATATATATATATATATATATATATATATATATATATTTTATTAGTGCAGAGATACTAATAATTGTACATATCTCTCTAAATAATGATGAATTTTAATTAAATGCTAATCATCATCATCACTAGACAGTGAGGGTGGGAATTTCTCACTGTAACAAGCTGAGGATACAGACACTGCAGTTGGGCCCCCACACGTACACACACGTCTTTTGGTAGAGAGATTTGCTATGTGTGCATGTGTGTTGGGAAGGACATGGTAGGTGGGGGCATGTGCGTGTAGGACGACGACAACCCCAGTCAAAGCTTCGCGCAGCCTTCCAGACACAGCGAGGACCTCTGGTTGCTTTCATAGCACCTCAACACACCAACATTCAACTCACCCGTGAACCTTTGATATCTTTTGTAGTAACCTGAAAGATAAAGTTGAAATTTCTGGTTACGGTTTATCCTACCATGGGCAGTGCATTTTAGGAGGGACAAGTATTTGCTCTGCCCGCAAATGAACAAAAGCTTTTTTTTTTTTTTTTCATCATGAAATATAAAGTCATTATTAAAAATGTTGCACACCCTTAACTGACTTGTTATTTACAAAAATTACTATGAAGTGGTAATACAATAAGCCGTTTTGTTTTCTAAGACAATTGAGAAATTTTATATTTTCAGTTTACTCATGAAAATTCTATCATGTTGAAAGGGGGAGAGGTTAAGTTAAGGGAGAGCATATTAAATCATAACATGACCTGATAACTTATTTTTATGATTTTAAGGATTTTTATTTTCTTAAACCAGTTCCTCAAGGCCTCAACAATTACCCCAATAAACAGCAGTGTGGAGTCCATGAAGAACTTAAAGGAAAAAAAAAAAAAAAAAAAAAAGTTCTTAAAACTTATTACTGCATTTTCCTCTTTCACAATCATTAGCATCAATCAAGTCGACTGACTGGCTACACTCTCTTCCTCCACCTATGTACCTACCATAAAATTCTACATTTTATATATATATATATATATATATATATATATATATATATATATATATATATATAGACAGTATAGAGCGGCAGATATGAACATCAACAGTTCAGAGTCAGAGTATGAGGCCCACCTGCAGAAATAATTGGGCTACTGATTGAAAGTCAGCATGACTAGTTCAACAAATAAAATTATTATGATGGATATTGAATGTAACAATGATGGTATAAGGTTACTATCTTTAAGTTAATGTAATGGAAATTTCATAAAACATGTAAAGGGAATGAAAGCTTATTTAGAAGACAATGGGAAAAGGAATTGTTCCATCTTTCATTTATTAAACTGTCAATTGCAAATCAAAGTCATTTAAAAAAAAAAAATAAAATAAATAATAATAATAATTACAATATTTTGGCAATGGTATACAAAAAGAAAAAGCTCTTTAGTATTAAAAAAAGCTCTTTTCTTTCGAATGATTATTGATTTAACGATCCGCATTTAATCAAGGACATTAATTCCGAAAGATATTGTTCTTAACTAGATTTTCTCTACAGGCAACATTTAAACAAAAAAAAAAAAAAAAAAAAAAAAAAAAAAAAATGGTGAAAATAAAATTTAACTGACATTAAGAAAAAAAAATATGAAGTCATTTTTCTGGTTAAACATCTTCAAACCTTTATAACTCATTAATACCCCAATCCATCCTAATGTACAAATAAATGAAAGTGATTAAACTATTCCGGTTTCTAATTAGTTTCCAACATCATAAGATTTCAATCCATTACTTGACAGAAGTTTTATAGGAAACTGCATCTTGGTTCTAGAACAAGGAAGTAACTAACTTCAAAGTAGAAAGCCCAACAGAAAAAATTTTTAAAGAAATTTTCTTTGACTACTGCAACATTATTTTGAAAAACTTCTTGATCAATTTTAGAGTTAGTAAAGTTCTGCTTTAGACTTTGATAAAAAAAAAAAAAAATTGGTTTTGTCCTTATATTATCTTTTAATTTTATAGTAACAAAATTTTCAGTAATTGAGTCTAACAAAAAAAAAAAAAAAAAAAGATTTGATTATTTTTTAGCACCATTTGTTCCACTAGTGGAACATTTTTTTAAATATTTTTTTTTATACCAGGAAAGCATTAATTTTTATTATTTTATCAATAATATACATGGAAAAAAGACTAATATACAATATTTGCTTACACATCATATTAAAATACATTTAATGCTCATCTGGTATCAAAAAATATCTTAAAATATGTTCCGCTAATGAAACAATGAGCACTAAAAAAGGTTTAAGGATTTAACTCAAAAATACTATTGCATAAATCTAAGTTTTAATCTGAAAAATAAGTAAATAAAATAGTATATTTCACAAATTCATGTCAGCATTTGCTCAAATAGTTTATGCAAAAAAAAAAAAAAAAATTATAATTTAAACCTACAGTCAGAACAAAGTATCAACAGACTATGCTGGCAACTGGTTAGCATTTACACAACAAAACCAAACTATACCAACTTAGTGATTTACACTAACCCTGTTATAGTAAAATATCAGCATTCAAATCTTGTTATAGTCAAATGAGAGAATCTATTATCATAGTAACCTCTTGACTAAAAATAGTAGCAAAAAGTTTGCAAATCCTAAAAATATTAAGAAAAGCCTCAATTACACAAAAGATATGGCAACAGGTATATTTGAGGACAATGAGTGGACACACATTTCAAATCTAGAGGACAACACTGAGCAGAGCCACATGTGTAACTTGGAAGAAAACAAATTTTCTATTTAGTTTTTTGTATACATGTAGAGAATTTAAAAATTCAATAATCAATTTTAAAAAATAAAAAATTAAATCCTTAATATAAATTATAAAAAGTCTACCACATTAAAATTAATAAAAAACATGTCCTATATTCAAGGTTCTCCAGTTTATATTCATTGTCCTAAATGTTTAATTATTTTTAATTATCATCAGCAACGATTTTAAGCTTATTTTGGGATTTTCTTAAAGAGTTTATTTTTGTTTAAATGAGTACATATTTTTCTGTATTTTATTTCTCATAAATACTTAAAAAAAAAAAAAAAAAAAAAAAAAAAAAAAAAAAATGATCAAAATTAAACAAAGTTTTTTCAAATTCTGAAACACCATGCCAGAACAAGAACAAGCAGAAAAGGAAGGGAAAAAAAATAAAAAGTGTAAAGAGGTAAAACACTTGAAAGACAAAAGAGGCTGTGTAGTGGTGGTGATGGTGGTGGTGGTGATAGTGCTATCTATCCAGTCAAACACACAAGCAATTTTTTTAAGGAATAAAACAAAAAATTAACAGGAAAGAAAGCAAAAAAGAAACTGAGAAAATGGTAACCTCGTCCGTCTTTGCAGACACTTCCAGGAAAGGAATGCTCCACTCATCAGCCAGTTTTTTCCCATCTTCCATTGTAACTGCTCTGGAAAACAAAATAAAAATATAAATAAAAATTCAAGAAAATTTTTTTTTTTTTTAAATTTAAACCAAAACTAACTTTATGACACAAATTAAAGTAATAAACAGAAATTTTATAAATTTTATATTTCACTTATTTAACTTCATCCATCTCAATTATTTCATTTAAATTTTGGAGTCTATCATTTTAACCAAGATTACAAACTTCACTGACAGAAGGGTTTATTTGCATTACCAAAAGATCAAAATTTTAAATCTATTCTAAAATTAATAATGGAATTAAAATTGAATTTTATACAAATTTCAATTCTACAAGCTCAAAACATTAATTATATGTTATTAATTTTACTATATAAATAGAATTTTCAGACAATAGCAATTTTGAGAATTTAAATTGATAAAGACAACTTCTGAAGTAACTTTTTAAAAATGGTTGAGTGGAATATGCTGAGTTGCAGTTTCATATCACAATTCCTTGTCAAAGAATTTATAAAGCAGAACAAAATTCAATAGAAATAATCTGCACCATATGATGCAGCCAGTTATGTTAATGAAACCAGATTTAAACATTTTACAGTTTAATTGCTTTAAGTAACTTTAACATTCCATCAAGGAATGAAATTGTGTGTCTTCACACTTCATATGGATTGAGGATTAGGATGGCAGGATGTGTGCCACTGAAATACAAATGTTTGACTTATGTGGTCCAGTCTAAATTCCAAGCATGAATGGTAATAGGAAGAAATAAAATAAAGGCTATTATGTCCAGCTGTAAAAATTGTTTTAGGGGAGTAAAAAAAATAATTTTAATTAGCACAAGAAATGGGAAGAGAAAGAATAATAATTCATTGATATTCAAGCCTGGAAGAACTTCAGAGTAAATTTTCATTATGCACTCACGATATTTATGTAGATCTTGTTGGAGATCAACAAAGTTCATTAAGATTTATTTTTCTACAAGTTAAACCACTTTTTCTGGTCTCTGAAAGTTAATTTGAACCTAAACTGTCGAATGTCTTCTGAGTACTTTTGGATTTCATATGTCATTATCAAAGAATATGCCTAAAAATATGCAGTGTATTTCTTTGGTGATTTTCAAGTGTCATTTTAGTTGGTGTCCTGTCTATTCCCACCCAACTGCAGGTACACTGATCTTCCAATACTCTTGGTTCCAAGACTGCTGGATTCTCAGTTTTGCTCAGACCAACAAAAAGTTATGCAATACAATACTAATACATGTAACACACTAATACATGTAACACACTAATTATGCATTTTTCATAACTCTACTGCATCATCAACTATTAGAAACTTACATTAAACTATTATTAGTAGTAAATGCTAAACAACACCATCGTGGCTACCCAGCAAATTGGTTTGGCAAATGCATGAAATTCAAATGCTTTCTTGAAATTTTGTCCAAATTAAGATGCCAGACAAATATAATAATAAAAACTATCAATCAATTATGCACATGTATATCATATGTTCATGTTTAATCATGAAATATCTAACATGCTCCTAAATTGAAGCTGTGGAAAGGAATATAAAGGAGAGACAGGCCTCCCCCTCAAGGTAAGGCTTCAAGAACACCAGAAAGCTGTAACGCGAGGGGAAGTAGAAAAATCAGGCATGGCTGACCACATATGGAGAGAGAAGGGAGATCACCGTCCCCTGTGGGATCATGTTGAGATCATAGACAGGGAACACCATTGGAAAATTCGTAAACTTAAGGAATCAGCACATATGCTAGGCCACAAAAATCTCCTGAGCCGACCAAGCATAGAAATAAATACAATATGGGAACCAGTAATAAGGAGTGCCAGAGAAAAGCAATGATAACAAAGTTGCAATATGAACTCTGGTAAAAACTAGAAATGATAACAGCAAAATTGCAATACGAGCACTGGTAAAAATGGTTGCTGAAAACATTAGGTTTATAATATCCAGAAGTTCATACCTCAAGGACACATGGCGCAGTGATAAAGGCGTTGGTTAGATCCAGTGACAGACCCAAAGAATGTGAGTTCAATACCCGGTTAAGGCAGTGGAGAACTTTCAAAGGGAAAATTAGCAGGAGATAACTGATAACTGACATCCATCAAGCATGGCACGTGGAACTAGAACAGTCTACCCCAGTGATCAAAATAAAGGGTTCAGTTCGAAATTCCAACCACCTGAAGAAGGCCGAAACGTTGTGACAAATATGGCGACAAAGATGAGGACAATAGTCCGACTAATGTAAATACTGTACATAATACCTCATCTCAGAAATATAGACAGCATTTTAACATCTTTATTATTCTACAAGCAACTATTAATGGTAAAGTTAAAAAGCAATTCCATTTTGGAAAAGTTTAAAAATTTTCAAGACAATTCAAAGACAATGGTGAAAAAAAACCTCTGGAGCCCTGTGGGAAAACATCTTTTTCAAGCAATAGTTAAACAACTTTGCCAAGATTGAAGATAATTCAGGGCTAAAGTTCTTATGTACAACAGAGGTCTTACCCAGAGCAGTAACCATCATGGAGACAAGATTTTTGATGGTCTGGAAACTTCCTGAGCTGTGATAGGTCACAAAGCTCATTCTCCATGAAAGGAAGGGAGTCAGGTAGAGGTTGGCCCTAGTCATCTAAATGCAGTGTTTGAGGCAAAGATCTTAGCCTGGTTCAATGAAGTTAAAAACAGATGACTTGCCTCTGTTAAGAATCTCATTAGTAAATTTCCATAACTCACAGGAACCAAGTCTTGTTACCAATTCTAGCTTGGACTAACTGTGTATAGCTGATCTGGGCATTTTCCAGAAGTATTTTGTAAAGGGTAGCCTTGAGTCTCCTCGCTACAATGCTTAAAATGATAAAGATGGAAGTAATAGTTATGGTGAGCTATGACCACAGCATATTCAAGTGTGTACCAAGGCTGTTAATTCAACCGTTGCTGATACTTCTTGAAAGGGAGGAAACTCAGTAACAGAAAGGATCAAAACATAAGAGAGGCTACTCTGGATGCCCTATTTTAAAAAGTGCAGTTTCCACAATTAAACATCTGAGTCTATCCCACTTTATGTATACATAAAGAAAACTAGTGAATGTTACAATGCGTTTCTGAATTACATAATGCATTATGTTGAAAACATGACATTAAAAAACTACAGAAATGTTGATGGTAAGCAAAATATAAATTTAAATATGAAAAGAGCCAATTTAGAAATATTAAGCAAGACAAAGTTTGAGACCTGTTGATTTTGTTTCGACAGGACTTAATCTGTTAAGCAACATTCTTATTGCTTGTCATGAGAATTTGTAAACTCTATATCAGATTCCACTATGATAGTCATCTGACATTTTTTCGCTACTGTTCCTCAAAGGTTATTTGAGAAATATAGTCAAATATTTGTAGAACCTTATAATTTATCTTTACAGTTATTTAAAAAAAAAAAAAAAAAAAAAGAATTTGCTGAATTTCTGATAAAGGCTGTCACAAGAACAAGCATAAAAATGATACAGTCACTGAGAGAGAAAAAAAAAATCTGTTTTAATTAATGATAGGGAGGATTTCCATAAAACAGTGAGAAAAATGTATTCATAAATATTAAATCATTACAAAAGTAATAAAGAAAAATTATTCAGGTGAAAATCGCTACATAAAAAAAGTTAAAAAAACAATACCTGTCTTCTTCAAGGTCTGTTTTGTTGCCAACTAAAACTATTGGGACCCTGAAAGAAATTAAAAGAAAATGAGTATTTTGGCAAGGTTAGAGTTGTTTTACATCTTCATTACAAACCCATAAAATATAGGACATCTGTAATTATAAAGATCTTATGTATGGCCACTTATCAATGTTGAGGAAATAAATGGTTAATCTGTAAAAATTAGCTTTGTATAGTCAGCATATCCACCTTCTCATCACTTTTATTTATATATATATATATATATATATATATATATATACACACACAAGTATAGGATTGGTGTATATGGAATAAATTCCAATAACCAAAAAAATACTATTCTTAAAAGAGTGCTCAATACAGAGTAGAGCAAATATAATTTATTTGAAAATTATAACAAATATGTTATAAAATAACAACAAAAATAACCATTTTGTTTCAACACTTCTGGTGCCTTATCAAGTGATAGTGTTGAATGTCTCATTCAACACCATCACTTGATAAGATACTAGAAGGGTTGAAACAAAATGGCTATTTTTGTAGTGATTTTATAACATATTTATGTTATAATTTTCGAATACATAAATAAAAACACACACACAAATCACAAAAAGCAAACAAAAGAAGCTTTTATAATATATTTCTCCTATTTTGTCTGGCAGAACAGATTGGTGAAATTGTTAAAGTTCTTTTCAACACCTGATACCAAAAAAAAAAAAAAAAAAAAAAAAAAAAAAAAAAAAAAGCAAGCCCGACTCCATTTTCAATGCATATTCAAAAAGAAAGAAATTAATAGAAAATATCTAATACTTTAGCTAATACAGAAATTTTGTAAGTGTACCTTACCATTAAGCCGTGGAAAGCCATTATAGCAAAGCAAGTCTATTTTTTTAAAAAAATGTATATCTTTGGTTAGGACATTTTCGAAGCCTAGAAGGAAATTACTGGAAAGTAATTGAAAGCCTATACTGCAGATAACGTTATTTTCGTACTCAAAACGTGAAGGAATTAAAAAAAAAATTAATCCTACATTCTTTGTGTGTATGTGTGTCATATTTACAATTTTTCGATAAAGGACAGATTTCGATTACGTATTCAGTCAATATGATATCAGTTTAAAAAGGAGAAAATTAAGATTTACAATAATTTTTAATCTAAGTACTTTTTTTCTCACAAACGTAAACAAACCAGAGGAAGGAAAATTTCAAGGGAAATAACTCATTTAAGTTTTTTGATTTTTTTTTAAGTAGTCCTTCTTGATCCAACCAAGTCAAGATTGGAATCTGTGGAGTCAACATCGACTAAAAATCGCTCTCCACTCCTGCATGCCACCCTCAGGATCCAGATACAACTGGACTACCCAACCACTGAACCTGTTTTTGGTCTCCAAGCTGTTAAATTTGTTCATCAAATAGGCTCCATTGGAGTTTCAGCTCCATGACAGGGACAGTTGCCATTACGATAACAGGAGAATTATACCAAAATTAAAATTTTGTGATAACTATGGAAGTTTGATTCTTAAATGCATCAAATACAACTGACTTTTGTAAAGAGTTAGATTAATTGAATGAAAAATTAAAATACGTTCCCATCCTTCTTAATTTTTTTTTTCCAATTACACCTTCAACCCACAGTGTATTTAAATATTTTGCTTGAAGACATCTCTCTTCAAAGTCTTACAGCCTCAACAAAGTATTATTTCCCAACCACGTCTTTTTTCTTTTTTTTTAGCTCCACGTTTATTTAATTTTTATTTTTCCAGCCTCCACTTCCAATTGCAGGCTCCTCTCACCTTGGCAGCCAGCACTGTATTTAATGATTTCCCAGGGCAAGGAGAGATAGTGAATGGTAATAATGTAGCAACACATCAAAATAAACAAAATAGAAACCCCATATTTCAAGTTAAACAAAATTTTCCAAAATTTTATTAATCACCTAAAAATGGTATGTACTTATTTAATCCTCATAAAACAATTTAAAATTCTTATACATCACCAATAAATTTCTTTCCAACAAATCCCAATACAGGGAGAGAAATATATTTATACTTACTTATCTCTCAGTCAATGTTCTACCAGATAAAGAGTTCTTAATTTTCAATCATATCTGTAATTTAAGTACCCTATGTGACCATGTCTCTTTCAATTAATGAATAAGTAGGCAGATTTTCCCACATTACAGCTTCTTTCTGCAGTAGACTGGTTGCCAACCAAGGCTATAGAACCCAGCCAGCCCTGCTATTCAACCTATGAACGGGAAGAACAAATAGAGTCATACCTTTCCCAAGGGTATTTGCACGAAAGTGAATGTAACAAACCTGACTGGAATTCAAACTCCGCTCTCTAATTCTGACCTGTTACAGGTTTTTAAAAACACTCATATTGTAAAACTAATGTTTAGCCAGATTTTTGGAAGTGGGTTGGACCCAAAATTTTCAGCAACCTCTTTGTAATACCTGGGAGCCCACTTTGAGTAACATCATGCCAGAAGATGATATGAAAGTGTCCAAGGTAAAGGCATTTGAATGATTTTATATTTTTCACATGTTGACATATTCTAAATCATCCTTTTATCAGTTCTTATGGACTTACAGACATGCAATAATATACACAATTTATTATATAGTGTATTTTGCAATAAAAAAAAAAAAAAAAACTTGACTAGGGTAGATAAAATTTTAAGTTAATGAACAAATTTAATGTGTGTTCAGTTATTTCAAATAAGACTGTGACAACTGATCAAGAAAACAATCTTTTTTAATAAACGATTACAATAACCTATTATTAAAACTATTTTGGGTTTTTAATTTAAAAATGTTTTTGAAAGTTCATAAGACCTCGGCACAAAATATCTTAGATCTGAAAATGCAAATTGTAAATATAATTCAACAAATGAAAAATATTGGATAAATATAAGCTGACTCAGTGGAAAAAGTTGAGCGGAGGTGAGGGTCTGGTTAATCCTTCCACCACCAACTCACAAAAGTTCCTTTCATTGAATATCCATTCTCAAGCAGATAAACACACTGACAAATGCCCAAATACTTTGAAATTGAGATGTCTACAAAGTCATTCTTTAGCTCAAAAACTTTACCCCTTAATTTTTAAGTTACAATTAATAAGTAAATAAAAGCAAAATATTTAAAATGCTTTAATGGAAAAAAAATAAAAATAAGATAAAAATTCAATCAATGAAAACCATGTAAGGAGAATTCAGCTGCTTTTCTTCATTTATCAGAATCTTTAAATTTAGAGAAATCTGAAAGCACTACCTTTTCTCAAAAAATTATAGCAGCATTACAATGGCAATAGAATTTTTATGATGTAGGCTTGTTTTAAATGCCAGCCCCAAAACTTCATTTGTTGTACATAACAGTTGTATTTTAAAACAACTATGTGATAACAGTGAATATTACAATAAAATATTTAGTTGTTAGACAAAATGAGTAGCTACTGGAAATATTAAGCATAAAGGAATTTGTGTGTGTGTGTGTGTGTGTGTGTGTGTGTGTGTGTGTGTGTATAATCTTATAAATATAAGTAAATATACTCGTCCAGAAAAACCTTAAGTGTTTTGGCTTTTAAATGAACAAACCAATACTCAAGGAAAAATAAGGAATAAAAAAAAGAAAGAAGTAAGAACATGTAATTCAGGCGAAAACATTCAACCAGAATCCAAGCTCAGTGTCCAAAGAAAAAAACCTCCGACACAAGTAAAGTAAAAATAACTAAGCAAAGTGCTCAACACACTAAATATAGCAAATCTAACTATGAACCTAAAGAGCCAGGCAAACCTACCTAGGTGGATCATCATATTTATATCGATATATATCACGGAGTGCTAATGGTAATAAAAAAGTGCTCAAATTTATATATATATATATATATATATATATATATATATATATATATATATTATAAATAAAGGTGTGTGTGCGCTACTTACCAAATTTTGCCCTTCATGTCACTAATCTTGTTGTAAATCAATTTTATTATATCAAGGCTGAAAGAAAAGAAAATAGAACATATTTTAAAATAAAAATATTTTTAAACAGTAAATAAAAATAAAAAAAAAAAAAAAAAAAAAAAAAAAGGCAGACATATGCTATGTTTATGATTTTAAATAACTTAATATTCTAATACAAATTATAGGATCAAATATTTTAGATCTTAATTTCTTTCTAAGATGTCATAAAAAAAAAAAAAGTTTCATTTAATCTTTTACAAAGTATCTTTTATGTGACATGTCCCTTCAGGGCATAGGAGGAAGTGGAGAGCCATGATTGCCTATCCCTTGCAGTTTTCAATATTTTGTCCTTTTGCTACTTCTCCCAGACCCTGTTCTGTCATCCACTTACTTAAGCCCACTAGGTATGTCATACATTGCTTTCCCTTGTCCCTTTACCCTCCTTGTGAGTATCAGATTCTTCAAGCCCTCCTTTCTCATTACATGTCCCAAAAATTTCAGCTGCCTCTTCCTGATGCTAAGTATAAGCCTCCTCCTTGTATGCATCCTCATCGTTGCTCACTTGTTCAGTTCATGGTATCCTTATCATCCTTCTGTAGAACCATACTTCAATTGACTAGTGTCTTCTTCATTTTTGAGGAGACTGTCCAACATTCACTGTCATAAAGGAGGACAGATATGACTTAGCAGCTCAGTACTCTTTTCTTTGTTGCCAACAAAATCTTTAATACTCTGCTTAGCTTTTGAAATGCATCTTTGGCCATCCCAATACGTCTTCGGATCTCAGCATCACACTTACCAAACTGTCAGAACACTTCCCAGATATTTAAATTTCTGCGCCTGCTTGATTTTAGCATCCCCAGCCTGTAAATATCATTTAAGACTCATCTTTTTACTGATGACCATACATTCTTTCTTGTAGGTTATGCTTAGTCCCTTCTTCTCACTCTCCTTCGCTACCTTATGTAAGATGTTTTGTAATTTCCATTCCATGTCTTCTATCAGCACTGTGTCAACTACATATGTCGTTAAGATTGTGATCACCAATGATGAATCCTGGTAGAATTTCCATTTCTCTCAGAATTGCCTTGCTGTATAGGTTGAATAAGTCCACTGAGAAGACACATCCTTGTCTTACGTCCCTTTCTATTTTTGTATATCTGCTGAACTCATTTTCTATCTATATGCAGACCGTTTGCATACCATCAAATTTTTTATCAAATTATTTTATTTTTAAACTGAAAAGAGTTAAACAACTAAAAAACAAACTACAGCAAAAGTTCTGAGCCAGTAATTTATCAAAAGTTTGTAAAAAGAAAAACATTAATTAAAAATTGAAAAGAAAATATTCAGTTTTTAATACTAGTATATTTCAAACATTAAATATAACTTAGCAAGCTTTTCAGTCATTACAAATACATTCATCTGGGTCAATTAGGGTGAGAGTGAAGAATAAGCATTCTCATTTCCACCCACCATTAAGAAAAAACTAGGTTACTAACAATTTTCCTAAATCAAAGATAAAATTCCTTAAATCAGAGTGTAAGCAATATCACTAAAGATTATTTTCATAGCACAAATAATTAGCCAACACATTACAAAGGATTTGTAATAAAAAATAGCTACCGATACAAAAAGAGTGACTTAGTTATTTTAAAATGAAAAAGGTAAACATTTTCATAAGTGACTGTTTCTCAATACTTGGAGTCAAAATAATTTTTAAAATAGGGAGTCTCTGAAAAGGAAAATTTATTGAATTTTAATTATACCTTATAGCACAGACATACCTATTTGGAACTTTTGACAGCATCGTTCTTTTTTTATTTTTTTTTTTTAAATTCTTATAGAAAAAAAAGGTTAGAAATTTTTTTTAAAATGTGGAAAACATGTCTTTAATTATACCCAATGACAGAAATTTATTTGCTTATTATTCAATACATTTTAATTAAGATATTTACATTTAAGTAAATTTTTAAAACCAGCAAATGGCAAAGCACAGGTGTAGAGTAATTAAGGTCAGTCATGGAAATGCAGAACTTCATTCACAAGTTGCTCTAAGAATTATATTGTGTTCTACAGAGATCAATTGTCTTTCTAAAAAAAAAAAAAAAATTAAATTTCATATCTTGCATAATAAAGCCCTCTATTCAACAAGATATTTTCATGTAAAAAAAAAATGGCAAATCAGTTTTAACAAATGAAGAAAATATAACACTTCATTTGAAACTGGAAACACAGAAAGACATGGAGGATGTTGATCAAAAATTGATATTGGTAATTATTATTTGTTTGGGAAGAGCAAACTTTTGAAATTCCAAAGAGACATGTATGTAGTGAGTATTCAAAAAAAAAAAAAAAAAAATTATATTTTCTAACACTTAAAAATAGTTGTTCACTATGAGGAACAAAATAATTAGTCTAATAATCATGATAGCAGAAAAAAGAAACAGTTTTAATTTGATTTCGCTCATTAAAACCTCATTTTCAGAATTCAAGTATGTGAAAAAACATCTTGGCTTTGTTGAAGCAATTAAAGTCTAAACTGAACAAAATGAGAAAGGAACTACAAAATAAAACATTCTTTCCAATTAGAAGAAAATTAAGACAAATTCTCAAATATTATTTTCTTGCAATTTCTGACGGTGTGATACATAATACTAGAGGATTAAGAAGAGAGAGAAAGGTGCTCACTATGGTTGATTGGTTAGCAAACTCATCTTGAAGACCAATTTGCCAATGAGCCTGATCCCAAGTGCTTCATGATTATAGCCTTCTTCCAGGCAAAGCTAAAGCTTAGAAATTACTAAAGTAATTCCTGGCCCCTATGATTATAGTCATAAAATATAACTTTGGTTAACACAAAATAAAATCCTTTTCAGCTATATGGGTGTGTATTTATATGCATGCAAAGTAACACAAGATTGGCTTTGAAATTTTTGACATCCACTGAGGCAATTAACCAGATTGTCATTAGATGTAGTAGTGGCTTAAAATTTTCTTTTGCATGGATAGGTAGTTTTCTTTTAGTTCAGCACTTAGTTATATTTAAAATGAAACTGATATTAATTTATGAATATGTTAGTACAAATAATTAAAAAAAAAAAAAAAAAGCACAAGACTCCCCCATCCCCACCCAAAACGCATAAGCAGTAAATAATTCTTATCAATTAGAATCTACAGTGAATCTTTAAAAGACTACATGGCTCAGATAAAAAGATGATTTGGAAATATGGTGTGGGAGTGTTAATATCCATTTGAGAAGAGAGCATAAGGACATTGAGCAGAATGCCAATAGCTGAATTTTCTTTCAGCCATGACCTCACATGATATCATTACCATAATGACAATATTTATTTACTTGGCTGTTAGTAGTGTCAAACCAACTAGTTACATTAGCCATTAATCTGTGATTATACATACATCATAAGCAAACAAGAGTTCTTACTAGTTTTAACAGTTAAATTTGAAATAGCATAAAAGCAGTTTGCATTCCTTAAAATATTCCTAATTAAAAGGAAAATAAAAATGGACCAAATGCAAATTACCAAGATTCTAAAAATTTACATTAATCATCTAAAAATTTAGAGATTTGATATCTACAAAGAGTCGCTTTTTTTTTTTATTCAGAGAAACAAATATTAAGTAAAGCAAAATTCATAATGTAAAATAAAGAAATTAAAAATGACAATAAGAACTAAGCTATGACTAATTTATTTTTATCAAATATTAATCTTCATTGATAAATTCTCATTTCTATAAAAATGCTTTTCAAATGTTTGCAAAAGTTATTTGCATACTATCAGATTTACAGATCATAAAAATAATACATTGTCATAGTCTTAATGCCAATTTGTACAAAAGTTAAATCCATGTATACAGAACTCCCCAAACTGTCAATAATTATACCAGTTTCAAGAGACAAAAACTTTATTTTCAGAGTAAAAAAAAAATCCAGTGACAAGGGATGCAATTCTCAAAAATTTACTGGAAAATATTAGTGTCCATTTAAATTTAAAGAAATATTAATTCTTTCAAGTTTTGACATATTTAGCTTCTCTGTTTTACTCTCTCAAGTAATGTACCAGATTGGTAGAGTTCCAGTTGATCCCTGGTACTAATTGGTCTTTCTATGGTATACTTATAATTTTGGTTCAAGTTTGCCAAATCTATTTATTTAATGGAATGAATCTAAACTCATCCTGCCCCCAAACTATACAGAATGAATGAATGTTTCTTTATCAAGAAACCAGCTTGCCTAACAAATCCAACTGCAAGTAGGGAGTTGGAATTAGAAAGTGTTGGTAAAAATATACAAACAATAATAAATGTTTTTTTAATAAGTTAAGGTTTTTATTTTTTATTTTTTTTCTTTATTATGTCCCTTCAGGATGGAGGTGATCATGGCTCACCAAATTATTTTTCTTTATTATCATTGCCATGACATGTTGGGAAAGATATTCGAGTAATTTCCCATTGCCTTAACCACATTTAATCCAGTGTTATCCTAAAGAGCATAGTTTGCCCTACTGTTGATGGGACAATACAAATGTGTTTACCGATTCCAATACAATTCCCAATATTGTTCTAAATTTATGATTCCTGATTCCAATTCCTGCAATGATTAAAATTCATTATTTTCTGGCCCTACAGTTTAGGAACTTTAATGAACGAAGTGCATTTTTTAATAAAATATTTAGTAGAAAAAAGAAGACAAAACCTCATGAAATAAAGTCAGATACCCAATTTTTTAAATAAAAAAGGATAAGAGTTTAAACAATAAAGAGAACAATTCCTTTACATAAATCACTTAAAGCACCTAGCTACAGTTGACATATTGCTTTACTTTGGTTATTGGATTAAATTTTACTAGTTTTATTTTAAAAATATTAAAACAAATTATGTTAAAAATGGAAAAAAAAAACTATAGCTTAATCATGCCAGATAAAAATGGGATAAAAATACTCATTTTTAACTTTTTTCCCTTTATACACTTCTACTTATAAATCATGCATCTTGTTTTGCTCCAAGGAGGAATAAATGAGAAAAAAGTTCAAAATATTATGCCTTAATAATTTAACACAGAAAAGTTCAAGTATGCCAAAGAAAAATATTAGCAAAATAAAATTAAAAACAATTTTTGATGGAATTTAGATTTTTTTTTTTTAATATAAACTTTTATGTGAAAAAGCTTTTTGTCAGGAAACTTCAAACAAAAGTCTTTTTTTAAAGTAAATAAAAATGAAAATCCATTTTGAAAGCTATAAAATTTTAAGAAATACATGCATTTTGTAGAAACAAATTTAGGTTTCAGAAAAAGAATGTTTACTTTTTTAAGTCTTGGTTATTAAAAAGAAGAATTATTTTTGTTTACATAGTATGCTACATAAACAAAAATAAATCTTTTCAATAACCTATACTAGAAATGGTTTTATGGATTAAAACTATTACAGAAACAAATTGTTGTAATTTAACTGCCTCACCACAAGGACAATTTGTGGGACACAAGGTCAATTTTTTATGTGAAGGAATCAGATGTGACATTGATATGAATTCCATACATTCAGTTTTTTTTTCTTTTTTATAAATTAAAAAAATAAAAATGGTCTTAAAAGAGAATCCAGCAAAACAACATGAATTCATTTTGTATTTATATTACATAATTTAGATTATAATTATTAAATAAATAACTTATATTAAATGGGTAAATTAACAATTTTTAAAAAGAAATTAAAAATAATTTTATTTTGAACTAACTTTAAACTAATGAACTTTATGGAAAGTTAGAGAACTGAGTAGAAACTTACACATTTCATTTATATATATTTTTCTAAGTAAAATAAATTTACATCATACTTAGGTGTTATTATGATCTATACATTTTAGTTTTGCTAACAGTTTAAAATCAATAAATATTTATATCTTTTTATCATTTGTACCAGGAATGGAAAATTAAGAATCCAAAGAATCATTTTGGGAATCAGAAATTGGGTTAAAAAGTTCTAATATTTCCGATTCTGGTTAATCATCCCATCACTACTATTTACCCATGCTTTCCTCCAAGGCTGTCAGTGCAAATTGAACACTAAATAAACAGAAACATCAAGTGGAGGGGGGGCATTTATTGAGGTGGAAAATGGTAAAAGGAAGACTGGGCAAGGACACTGACCTCTGACACCAGCTGGGAATGTGTAACTATTTCAACCACAAAAGGAGGAGACGTAATAAAAAAAGTTCTGCCATATCACTACTGACAATTTCAAAATGAATATGAGAAGAGTACTGCAATTTTTAGCAAACAAGTTTATCCTTTTGTTTCAAACAAGCCCTCAACTGAGGTCCATTAAAATTTTTTTTTAAATTATTAAAAAAAAAAAAAAAAAAAAAAAAAAAAAAAAAGGAAAAGACTTACCTTCTTTGTGAGGTTATCGAGTACACCAAAATATACCCATCAACATTCATGTAATAATCATTGGGTGTTACAGAATATTCATCCTGAAAGACAGATCAAGATGATTAGAGATATTAAAGCATTAGATATATTCAATGAAAGAATGAGAAAAAAAAAATTCACTAGTACAACCCAGATTGGTTCAGACTTGCTAAAATATTGACTTTTCAAAAGGTTCTTATCACATTGATTTTAATGTTTTGATTTCAATAATTATTTTCAACTTCTACTTTAATATACTAAGGTATTTACAACTTGATATCTTTACATCAATAAATAAGCCTGCAATATAAATTGTAAAAAAAAGCATTCATTTTACAGATATTTTTCAACCCCAATACATGAACAATGATCGAGATTAGTTCATTTGTAAGTATTACATACTGGTTGAATATTTCATTAAGAAAATTTCAGAGAAAAGATTAGCTAATACCAGGCTATGAACTTAATTACTTTCTCAGTGTAATCATGTGAAAAAAAAATGCTTCTTATACTACTTGATCCTGGTTAAGGGTTTTATGGACTATTCCATATTTTATATTTGTATGTTAGAAATCTAATCTAAATCATGCGACACATTTGAAATGAGATTATATATTTTAAGACATTTTTATGTTTATACATTCTTTTTATAGATACAAATATTTAAGTAAATTCGACCTTGCTAACTGAACGCACCTCTGTGGCCAAATCGATATGGGTACGTCAAGCTAAATGACGGTTCCATATAGGATACAGGTTCAAATCCTGTCAGAGGATGAATATTTTCTGTGAAAATTTCTCGGGCATCCAGGCCGGTAAATGTTGTTTAATACTGTTTATTATAAACAGAGCATTTACTTAAATATTTGTATCTATAAAAAGAATGTATAAACATAAAAATGTCTTAAAATAATTGCCAGACTTGTCCATTTCATAATATATATATATATATATATATATATATATATATATGGGGAAAAATATAGTTGAACTCATACTAATGTCAAATTCATTTTTACTGATATAGTTCTGCCTCTAACATTTAAAACTTTTCCTATAGATGAAATGTGCTAAGTAGTGACAGGATGATACCAATATTTTTTTTTTTTTTTACAGATTCCAATACAATTCCCAATACTGTTCTAAATTTACGATTCCTGATTCTGATTCAAACATCAGTTAAAATTTTAATTTTTCACTGTTAGTTAAAAACTTTCTAGTTTTCTAATGAATATAATTTGTAAAGATTCAACTAATAATGGTCTGCTAATAATTGTAAAATAAAAAGGTTCTATTTTTGTTCATCTTTTAAGTTTTAACAAGCAAAAGTGCCCTCTCTAAATATTATACAATCTCCTTAAAATTTTATGTGGCATTTTTCAGTGAATGGAACAAATTTAGACATGACAATTCAATTTCAGCATGCACTTCAAAAATAAGAGACACCCTAATTATATATATATATATATATAGCAACAATAATACTCTAAGCAGAAAGACATCATCCTATGTATTGTGGTTATGCATATATTCATATATTTTGATAATGTAGAAAGAGTACCTAATCCTGCAGGACAGCGAATAAAAAGTAAATGCAAATATTATTAAAAGTGGAAAAAACTAAAGCTTAAACATGCGAGATAAAAATGGGATAAAAATACTTGTTTTTAACTTTTTTTATACACTTCTACTTATAAAACTTGCATCTCATTTGGCTCTAAGGATGAATAAATGAGAGAAAATGTTCACAATATTTTAAATGCCATAATAATTTAACACAGGAAAGTTCAATTAGGCCAAAGAAAATATTAGGAAAATACAATTTTTGATGGAAATTAAATTTTAGGTTTTTTAAAGTTTTGAGTGAAGAAGCTGTTTGTCAGGAAACTTCAAAAAAGTTTTTTTTTTTTTTTTTTAAGTAATTAAAAGATGAAAATCCATTTTGAAAGCTATAAAATTTTAAGAAATACATAAATTTCATAGAAACAAATTTAAGTTTCATAAAAAGTATGTTTCCTTTTTTAAGTCTCGCTTATTGAAAAGAAGATTTATTTTTGTTTACATAGTAATTTACAAATTTTCCAATGGTGTTCTTTGTCTATGATCTCAACCTGATCCCACAGAGGGCAGTGATCTCCTTTCTCTTTCCATATGTGGTCAGTCATGCCTGATTTTTCCACTTCCCCTCATGTTACAGCTTTCTGGTGTTCTTGAAGCCTTACCTTAAAGGGGCGGCCTGTCTCCCCTTTATATTTCTTTCCGCAGCTGCACGGGATAGCATACACACAGTCTTTACTCATGTTCTCCTCTGAGGGGGGGGTCTTACTCGGGAGAGATATCGTGTCGTCAAGCTTTTGAAGGTTTTCCTGATGTTATATGGACTGCAGATCCTTTGTATTCTCTCTGATAACCCCTTCACATAAGGCAGGCAGACTGTTTTCTCAGTGTTGTTGTCCTCTTGTACCTGCCTATCCCAGGGTAGTTACGTTGTAGGGTACTACTTATACTGACCAATTCTTTACCTAATGTCTCTGGGTCGCCACTCATGATTTTTGCTTGGTGTTGTAAGCAACGGATGATCCCTTTCTTTACACTGTATGGATGGTGGGAGTTGAAATTGAGGTACAGTCCAGTGAAAGTCTGTTTACAGATACAGATGTCGTGAACCCATGCTCTGTTCGAGATATTAGAACATGCAGGAATGGGAGTGTGTTGTTACTCTCTTTCTCCATTGTGAACTGTATCGAAGGTCTTACTAAGTTCACATGGTCCAGTAGAACCTGAACATCTTCCTGGTGTGGCCAGAGTATGAAGGTGTCATCTACGTACCTTAACCATATAGTTGGCTTTAGAGATATAGATTCTAATGCCATTTCCTCAAAGTATTCCATGTATATATTCGCCATTGCTAAGCCCTCATCCTGTCAATATGCGTGTGATCCCATTCCAAAGTGTGTTGTGTTGAAAGTCAACATCTCCATCAGATTATCTATTGGAATACTGGTCTGTTCTCCTAGGGATGAGTCAGAGGCTAATCCATCTCTGACTACTGAGAGTGCCTCCTCCGTGGGTACCTTGGTGAACAAACTCACCATCTCTCAAGTAAGACCCCCCCCATAGAGGAGAACATGGCAAAAGAATGTGTGTACGCTATCCTGTGCAGCTGCGGAAAGAAATATAAAGAGGAGACAGGCCACCCCTTAAGGTAAGGCTTCAAGAACACCAGAAAGCTGTAACATGATAAGTGGAAAAATCGGGCGTGGCTGAACACATGGAGAGAGAAGGGAGATCACCGCCCTCTGTGGGATTAGGTTGAGATCATAAACAAAGAACACCATTGGAAAATTTGTAAACTTAAGAAATCAGCACATATGCTAGGCCACAAAAATCTCCTGAGCCGACCAAGCATAGAAATGAATACAATATGGGAACCAGTAATAAGGAGTGCCAGACAGAAGTGATAACAAAAATTGCAATATAAGGTCTGGTAAAAATATGAAATTTTAACAGCAAAAATTGCAATTTGAGCACTGGTCAAAAATGGCTGAAGATATTAGGTTTATAATACCCAGAAATTCATACACAGGATGTCCTCAAGGACACAAGGCACAGTGGATAAAGGCGTTAGTTAGATCGAGTGACAGGACCCAAAGAGTGTAAGTTCAATACCCGGCTAAGACAGTGGAAAACTTTCAGAGGGAAATTAACAGAAGATAACTGATAACTGACATCCATTAAACATGACATGTGGAACTAGAACAGAGCTAAATAAAGGGTTCAGTTTGACAATCCAACCACCTGAAGAAGGCCGGAGTGTGTAATAAATAGTCCAAATAATGTAAATAATACCTCATCTCAGAAATATAGACAGATACTGAAATATCATTTTGGGATACACTTTTTAATCTTTAACACACTGCATTACTCACTCCTTTCGACTGTATTGTTTTTCAAGGCTCCTCTACAGTATTCTCACCTTTATTCAGGTTACTACAAATTCAAGGAGTATATAGGTTTACCATTTGCCCAGTTCACTCTTTTCCAGTCTTTTGAATAGGAGTAGAGGTTTGTCTCCTGTTTAGGATTGGGTTTCTGATTCCTTCTAAGTTCTTCTCATTCTCTTTCACTCTCAGTATCTCTTTGCATCTTAGTGGCATTATTGCCTTGTTTAGATTGAAATGATTAAAAAAAAATAAAATTCTTTGTGAAGATCAATGTCTAAGAAGCCAATTCTACAGACCATTGTTTGTGCAATGAATTCAGCCCTTACAATTTGCCCCATTACCATAATGAATATTAGGTTGTATAGATTAATATATCATTTGATTGTTGACTAAAATAACCAGCAAGCATGGAGAACAAAAGAATATCTAACTGGTGCACTATTACTCCAATCTATTGAACACATCACTTAAAAAGATTGCAAGTTATAATTCTGTAAATATGGATTACTATTCAACTATTCTAATGAGTACCTTGACTTCATCAATTTAAGCAAAGTACTAGACTGGCAGCTAGGTCTCATTTTACCATTTGAAATTGCTAAAGGTAATCCTCAGTTATCTCCTAATAGTTTCTTCTATTGCACTATAATGCACTTCTATGGAACACTCTTCCAGCTTGTTGCTTTCCTAAACAACTACAATCTACAAAAATGTGAATACAACACAAATCATCATCCGTCTCCTTGAATCACATTCTTTTTATTGCCCATTCTCCCCAGTAATGTTTTTCTCAGTAATCCCTTGTGTTTTGGTGGTTTTATTGCCTTGCTTGGGGTGAAATGACAAAGGAAAAAAAAATTCTAAACCCCCAACTGTCATGACTATTACAATAAAGCAGAGAGTTTGTAAGATAAATTGAAAATGTGTTACATGGACAGAAAATAAGAATTTTTTTATTATTTTATTGTGAAGTGATTTTGTGCTGTGAAATGTCCAGAGTGATACAGAAATTTTGTATAACTTGACTGATGAACAAGTGAATCAATCTGTTAGAATTTCTAAAACTCTTCAGTCATACTGTGTTTTGATGCATGCAGAACACCTTGCTTCACCCTCAT